TAAATAAAACATGGCAGTGATGACTCGATTGCCCTTTATTCCCCTCCCTTGTGCTCTCTCTCCGTTTCTCGAGTTCTTTCACTAATGCCACACTCGAGCTGTGTTTTTAGGAGCAGGAGGTACATTGATCCACATGGGCTGCGGCTCCAAAACCCAGCCACTCACAGGTTCTTGAAACTGATGTAAAAATTAAACGGTATATGGTGCTAGCATCGTACAGTGGCGCCGTTACTGAGGCTAGCATGGTTTTCTATGCATTACACTGTGGTTGCAGGAAGGCTTGAGCAGCAGTTAACCTCATGAATGACCATCTATCATCACTCAGGTGTCAAAGTCAGGCTGCTGCTGCTTTGCACGGGGACAGAGTGGTGGCTCGCGTCAGGCTGACATGACAGTGCCAAAGCAGGGGGGTGTAGTTATCGAGTTCACTTTGATAACCTTATATAGCTCATTAGGACCTAACTGGTGAAGTGAATTGAGTCTATCCGATTACTTTATACCATTCAAGCATGTGAACTTAAATGATAAGGCTGTTATTTTTCTATATTTTTCCAGCTGTTGGCAAATTCCAACATTATGTTAGTCTATGGATAGGTCACAGACAAACATTCACACTGCAGGCAATTTAGAGTCACCAGTTACCTGCATGTATTTGGACTGTGAGAGGAAACTGGTTAGCGCTAACCACTGCAACACCGTGAATCAATATGTGTGCCTCTGTTACACTTAATCAAGAATATATTGTAATCTGAAAATGAAAGTAGTCATTTGCTGCAGTCCTAATCTCAAACACTGCAACACCTCAATTCTTAATGTTTTTGTGTGTGTGGTCTTTTTATACAAACTCTATTTTCCATTGAACAACAATCCACCTGTGGAATGTCAAGTAATTGTTTTGTGTCTGACTTTAGCTGAAATAATGACAATTTGGTATTTTATGAAAAGCCCCTTTTCAACATCAGTTCTACAGAGAAATTAAATGTGGGGAAAATCCTACAAAGCACCAGTTGTTCAAAGACAAGTTGTGTAGCTTCACTCCCATGTGACACACTTTACTGTGATACACTCTCCAACACCTCCATTATGTTCACAGCTGCTGCTCAACATCTCCTCCATGAAGCCACTGAAGCCAAGTTTGAGATCATCACTTCATGGTCTCTCTGCTTTCTCAGTGTGCTAAGCTTCAAACTGCATGCTTGCAGTTGAACAATGAGCTTTGCGAGATTTAAAGAATACATTTGGATCACTAAAGTATAACCTGGCTTCTAAATGATGAATGTATTTCCATCTGTACAGTCTATATGTGTGTAAATATGGCTAGAAAATTGATTTTTGATTACAAAATGCTCCATAACTCAGCCTCGATCACAGGTTTTACATTATTTAGTCAGTTTTTTGTTGAGCTTGCCTTTTCCATTTTGTTTAATTTCATTTCAGCATGAAGTATTTGACTGCTGACATCCATATTATTGCACAGCATAAATATTTATTTCACAGCCTGGCAGAGAGCCATCACAAATGTAGATGCCACTTTAAAACCTGGCAGATGCAGCATATACCAGTGCAGCTTATGAAAACTACATCTTTCATGCACATGCATATTACACATTGATGCAATGACAGCTTTGTTGTTTTTGGCTAGGCACAGGTCACTCCTTTCAAACATCACACAACAGTTTATATGGAAGTGCAGCTACTGTGGGAATGCAGGTTGTATATCTGCAATGTACAGTCAGTTTTGAAAAGTTATATTCAACACCCTTCAGATTAACTCAAGGAATAACAAAACCCCTCCTGATCCCTAGATCCAAAGCTACTGTATATATATGCTTAATCTAATATTTATGTTATGCAATTTACCAAGTTAAAGCTCATTTCAAAACTTGGGATGCAAAAATGAAAACCTTCGGGCTAGTTTAACTACTTGAATGGCAAATAGGTCTTTGTTACACTGCCATGTGAGCTAACTGGATGTCAGTAAGTCAGGACTGACTCACCAGAGGGAATAAAATGATAACGATCCCTTATCTGTGTATCCGAGTATCATTTCAGGCTTACACTACATCACAAAGTGCTAAGAAAAACTAATCACACATTTGTTCATTATCATTAGGAAAGCTGCTGCAGCACAGTTACTGCACCTTTTGGCAACCCAACCTGATAACATAGCCTTTAATTACCATCAAAACCTAAAAAGTATTCACGACTTCCAAAACAACCAACATCAAGTTGCACGAGTGAGTAATCATCTCCATTTATCACCTGGGCTGGGAGTACACTATATTTAGTGTGAAACAAGAGAGCCAAGCAGAACAGACAGGCATACCACCTGCTCCAGTGTTACTGCTAGTTCATCTGAAGGACAGATCCTCAATGCAACAATTCATGTAACTAAGGTGGTTCCCTGGTATGTGTCCAGATGTGATGGATTCAGCAGGTAAATGTGGAAATGAGAACATAAAACTTCCTGTGGATTGTACGGTAGGCTAAGGTTAGGGCACGGAGCAATGTGATTTCCATTGCAGTTGCAAAGGGCAACAAAGGAGGAATGTTATCGGAGCACAACTAATCTTCAAGCAATTTCGATTTGATAATTTGGTTCATTTTCATGGGTTTACAGAAAATCTGCTCAGTTTGAACTTTTAAAAATACCAGTTATCCTTAAACACACGCACACTACTCACACACGTCGGGCAGCGCGTGGGCGCATTCCAGTCTGCAAAAATGTCAAACTTTTATTTACAGTCACATGCGCACTAAAGAAACTGCTCACCTCGCTGGGAATATCACTTTTCAGACCACAGACAATCACAAGCACAGCTCTAAGCACCGTGTTTCCACACGCACGCCTTTTTTAAATACCTCCGGTTCATTATCGACTGGACCCCCCCCCATGGGAAAAACATGCAGCTCATCACAGTGCGTCTGTGCCGCGCTCACCTCGTGCTAATGTGGACGGAGCTTGTGAACCGAGGAGTACGAGGATGGCAAAAGTCAAGTAGCATCCTCCTGAAAAGTGTCCCATCACTGATGTGCGTTTCTCCCTCCCCATCGGGTCTGGGGGCACCGGCCGCGGGTCTCAAGCATTTGTCGTCTGCTGGAGGCTCCTCGAAACACGATCCTGTGCCCCGAGGAACGCTCCGCCCAGGTGTGTGGGGCTAGGCAGTGTCCGCCAAGAGCACCGTCAGCTCTTCGGAATCGCAGTGCAGGTTAGGAGATGGAGAGGTGCGGAGCTTTCAGTGGCTCCCCGGCACTGTGCTGTGCCAGAGTGGAATAATGACACAGAGAGCGTGAGCCAACAGCTTTCGGGCTGTCTGAGAGAGAGAGGGAGAGGGGGGGAGAAAGAGGAAGAGAGAGAGAGAGGGAGAGAGAGATTACAAAGGTGCTTGTGCATGTGCGCACCTCTGTGCCAGATAACCCGATGAAAGAAAACATCTTTCACTTGTCTCTCGCCCTCTGTTTCTTTGTGGTTTTACGTTTTCTGCTCCACCCAAGCTCTTTTGTGGACAATAGTGTTGATTGACATCAACGCCATTTCCTTGGCGTTCGTGCCAGTGGCATTGTCTGGATATGTTTTAGTTTTTTTTGTTTTTACTAATAATGGCTAACCTCGACGTACAGTCCGAGCATCGTCTGACAGGTGTCCTGTTGCCAGCAGGCATTTGGCTGTTCGAGCTTTGCCAGTGTCCACTTTCTCATGATTTATATATTGGAGTAATCAGCCTCACATTTCTGTCCAGGAAGAATATATAGGCAGATCATTCACTTTGATGAACGCACGCGAAGTATTTTAAAAAGTATTAATTGAATGGCCCCTAAAACCAGCGTTACAGCATCGCAATGATGGACCTTTCCACTATGGGCAGAGGAGGAAGTAGAATTCAGATCATTTACTTGAAGTACCAATGCCATCCTGCATTACAAGAAGTCATTCATTCAAAACTTAATCTGCAAAAAGAAGTAAATACTATACAGGCAAATTGGTTTCAGACAGTTTTACTGCATAATTATTTCTGATACATTAACAGGTGAATAGCATTTTACTCTCATCACTGACTGGCGAAGATGATTCTATAGCTGTCTACAGTTTCCTCTATAACAATGGCTCATTTTATTATCATCATTATAGCTTTTAAAGACTAACTACAGGTGTACTGTAGTAAAAAGTACAATAGTTTCACCAGAAATGTAGTGGAGCAGAAGTTTAAAGTAATATGTAAATACACAGAATCATTTGGGATTCACCATCGTGTGCCATCCTACAAGAATGTGTGTGTGTGTTCATTTTATGTAAATCACTGCAGTTTGACCTTCTCTGATATAATTACCCTATTGACTAGAAATTCAGTGGTTCATTTCCCAGAGTTGTAGCCAGGGGTCAGCCACTGAGGCAAGGTTAACTACTTGAAAATATTTCTAAGAGGGAGCCCTAAGCTGTGGGACGGCCTTACAGCTAGTGAGCTACTTGACAGACCGTGAGCACCATCATACAAGTTGTGAAAGGATATGTCCATTGTATTATTCTGAGAATGACGCATTTATTTACTAGTACACTGTAAATTCCCATATCTTGAGCTGATCTGTTTTCGTAATTAGCCCCCTGGGACGACAGAAGTAGAAGGATTTGTGACAACAACAACATTAAAAGGTAAATTGTCTTTTACATGTATGTAATGACAAGCACAGGCTGATGAAATAAAACTAACTAAAAGCCCCTATATGGTCCCTGCAATGCTCAAGAAAAGTCCATGTCAAATAATGCTGTGACTAAAATGGAAGGTCAGTGAAATCAACCCACAGAACGAAAATACTGGCTCTGGAGCACAGCAGTTCTTGTACAATTCACACTTTGGAGCACAGCAGTTCTTGTACAATTCAGATACAAGAAGTGTCACTAGACTCCAGAACAACAAAGAATAAATCCACAGGTAAATAAATAAAACTATCATTTTCCACAGAGCCAGATGAAAAGGTGTCGTTTCTCCATCCAGTGTACAAGGCAGTAGGACTGTACTGTACTGCAGTGGGTTTTTGTAGGTTTGAAATCCAGACGTATTTGTTAAACAAAGTGTTTGGGCCACAAATTTAAAGCACTTAGTTGAGAATATCGTTGTCTTAAGACTTTTGTACACTTTTAATTTAAAAACTATATAGTTTTTAAATTCAGTCAAAATTTCATGACTAAAAAAACCTTGGTTTAAACAGTTATGTCCTCTTTTGACAGGGATGTGGTACAGTAGTAAACAAGCTTTGTGCCGTCTAACATACAGAGATAAAATTCATGGAAATATACTGCAAATACATTCATCCATCCATCAATTTTCCTCCACTTATCCGGGACCGGGTCGCGGGGGCAGCAGTCTAAGCAAAGATGCCCAGACTTCCCTCTCTCCAGACACTTCCTCCAGC